GTTTAGAATGACATGAGAGGCCAGATTAGGGCTGGGTGGTATATCGAGTTTGTATGATATACCAATATATTTTTTTATAATCGATATGGTATGAAGCAATACCGTTTATAATTATATACAGTACTGTAGTTTGATACGACCACATCTGAAAAATAGCGAGTGGAAGACACGGTGTGAGCTGCTGCAGGAAAAGTGCATAATCCAATTTGTCCTAAACATGAGACAAGCTTTATATTAAGGGCTTTAAGTAACTCGTAAGATATAGTTAACATGTATAGTTTAAAGCTGCTTGCCCCGTCAAATGCTCTGACTGACTCATGTGCTGCTGACAGATACACTCACGCATGCGCACCAAACAGACGGCGTGCAATGAAATAGGAGCGCAATTAATTCTGACTAAAATATAGCTTACATTTTGCTGAAATATTTGTAGTTGGACAATAAATGTGACAAATGTAGGTGTTTTTAGATTATAATGTTATAATGTAATGTGATTTTAACAATTTTATGCACATAATATATAGGATAGCCTACATGGTTACATTCACTTTATTTGTTTTCATAGCCTTTAATGTATTTTTTCGTTGGACAACATTTGGCAGGATGTGAAAGTTTTTTATTTATTTATTTTTTTTAAATAAAGAAATACTGAGATATAATGTATATTGTATATCGTAAATTTAGCCATATCGCCCAGCCCTGCGCCAGAATGACTGTGTTGATATTCACAACAGTTATTGAAGTTGTTAGAGGTCTTTTCTATATTCAGCAACAATGACTTTGACATGTCTTAAGGGATACAATTGATTCCAGTTGTTAATGGCTTTATAAATGCAATTCCTGTATCTACCGGACAGCTTTTCTCTGTGCTTAATGGAGCTTGCATGCATATGGATCTTTTCTTCGATCAGTCTCTCTTAGGATGTACTGGGAAAGTTAATGATGGAAACGAGCATGCTAAAGCACATCCCCAAAGTCTCATGCCCAAATTTAGGCTATAAAGTCATTGTTTGCCTATCAAGTTCTCGTTGGACTCTTACCCAAGTCAACCGGCGAGCTCTTTATTGGTGATCAGAGCATGTTTGGGTGCTCGATTTCCTCGCCCTGCACTTAACACTATGTGTTGCTTTCATCTATGAGTAACTTGACCTGCCAGGAAGGAGCAGCCAATGGAGAGAGTAAGTGTGTGTGTGAGAACAAGAGAGAGGGAGGGGAGTACGAGTGGCCAAACAGTGTGTGTGTGTGTGTGTGTGTATGAACGAGTGAGATATGCAGCGAGTCAGATTTGTGGTAGTAGAGAGCTGGCAGCTGCAGTCAGGCTGAGTTTAAATGTGGCTGAGCGCCTCTCGTCGCTGTGGCGTGAAGCAGGGAGTCAGCGAGCTGACTGCCGCTCCGGCCACAACCATGAAACACTCCCACTCACAGAGGATGGACTACAGGCTGCTCAGTAAGTGACGCTTCAATTTTACCATACACACAACAACAGGCAGTGCTGTCACTTGTGGAGTTATTTTCAATGTAGAATCAATAGTGCTGTTCTGGTGGCCAGTGCTTGGTGTCAAGGACTAAAGTGTTGTGGTTTGTTTTTTGCTGTATAGAGAGTTAGTTATGTACTGTACTTGGCAGCTCAAGGTTTTTGGTGTATGAGACTAGAAAAACACTAGTCTAACACTAGTCAACAACCCTGGAAACACTGTTGTGGTGTTGATTTTTAGTAATATTTTATGCCAGGTATGCAAAAATCAACAGGGAATACGCCTTAATGTTTGATTCAGGTTGCATAATTTGTTTGCGTTGAGAGCTGGCAACCGTAGTCAAAAAGTCGGACAGGTTTGGTATGACAACAGGAATTAGTGATTGTCCCTTTAAAGGATGGAACAAATTCAGTGTTTATATAGACAGTAGTTGAAGAAAAAAAGTCTGTGTAAACAGAAAATGGAAGAATAAGTATATGATTTAATTTTAATTAATTTTATATTTTATTTTATTGCATGCTTTTTTCGCAATGCAGCCCTTTCTTCATTAATACATTAGGTTACGTAGATTGGGTCCTTTTAAACTGCCTTGCACCTAAAGTGAAATAATAAATAAAGCTTAATACTAAACTGAGCAATTGATTAATTCAAATATGTATGTAGTTTAATGGTACATCCACAAGTGATTTTGAAAGAGATTTCTATTTTGCTTGGTTGCAATGTTCTGTAGGCTTTCACTCTTTTGTTACACAAAATGAAACATGCTGCTCAAGGTTATTCTGAATGAGTGTCTATTTCTAGTTTTTTTCTTGCATCTTCATTTCATATACTTTTTCTGAAGGTTGTAGAAGAGTCTGTGGGCATTTACTTTCATAACTCATTGAATACTGCAAATCTATCTGCTAATGTTTGGTACATGAAGCATTTACAGTATAATGTCCATGTAGTATTAATAGACTAAATCACCAGAGAGGAAACTTTACTGTGCATTTAAATGAGTGACATCACTTTTTTGTGATTAAAGAAATTTTGTTACAGTTGCCCTCAGTCTCCCCTACATGTTTCAGTGTAATGTTTTTATGGTTTATATAGGTCTTTTATCCACCTAGGCAGTACAGGTTAATTGTTTTGCAGAAGCTCTTTCTATTAATGATTTATTCTCCATAGGAGATGGGATACTAGGGATGGTAGTGTAAGTCAAACTCACTGGTTGTAAATCAAACATGCATAAACCGGACTATTTCTGTCCAAGACAAAGGCTCTTTTCTCCTAAAGCTCTTGACTGATTTTAGGCCGGCTGCTACGTTGTTTCAGCATGATGTCTAAATAAATCCTTAGATATCTGCCATCCCTGTTAATTGTATATTACAGAGTGTGAACATAAACATACACTAAGGCTGCTTGATTATGACAAAAATGGGATTGCACCCAAAAGCAATGATTTAATCCACACTTTTAACTATTTGTTTATTGTAACAGTTGTAAGTGGAATCACAATTATTTTTTCCAACTTGTTGTGCTCCTCTAGCATATACACATGTGTAGGAGGTGCACCTCAGCTGCTCTGCGTGTCCCAAAAGCAGGCTGTCTGCCATCGTTCACAAAACGAGCGCTGCTTCCTGTCTGCTTTAGACCTGCACCATGAGTGGCCCATGCATAAAGATCAGGGCAGCTCATTCACAGCCTAATGCGGTGTATTCATTTCCTTCCATTTTGCTTCAAAAGATGCCATGTGCAAAGAGAAAAGAACACATGTGATGGCTAATAAAATGCAAATGGATATGAGACCGCATATTGAAGAGATGATGTGCCTAAAACTCACCTCAGAAGAACTCTAAGTATGATAGGCCATTGGTTTAGTTTGAAGCAATACAAAGACAGCACAGCTCAGGTGTATTAAAACTTATCAATATTGATATTTTTTGAAGTTTGATTCCTTGTAATCTTGTAAATGTAATTGCATTTCCGAGCTATACTGCAAAGAATTTGTTCATATGTAAGTGAGCTGCTCACCTAGACAGCATACAGTCTTGATACTTATATTCCTGATTCATAATATTTTACACATTATTTGTGCATTTTCCTTTTATTGAAGTATTGTGTCATTAACTTAGCAACATGCTAACATTAAAATGTAGAGCGTTTCAAACGGAGGTTTTGATAGGATACTTAGAGTCTTAGTGTGTACTAAGAAACACACCCTCATGTTCTATCAGAAGACTAGACTGAATACACAAATCAAACAGCACTCTCACTCTGCTCCTCCTGTTCCGGCGGTCGCCATGGCGGCGCGTTGAGCTGAAGGAGTGCAAACACTGCTTTTGACAGCTGATGCTATCCAGACAAGCATGATTCACAGTATTTTTATTATTTTTGCTTGACCTGCCCTTGAGCGCCATACCAGCATAACCGTTTTCTGATCGCAATCTCAGGCGAGAGTAGAGGAAACAGTGGAGATATGTAAATGTGCCGAGACTTAATGAAAAAATACTGTGCCCGGTGATGCTGAAGAAATGATCCATCAGTGTCACAGTATATGGGCTATTGGGAATTTTTACAACTCTGTCCTGCATGGCGTCTTTCACTTTTACTAGACTGCTCTGATGAGTCACACAGTATACATTATTAAAGTCATTTGTTTTGTCTTTTGTGGTACTCTCCGGTTCTCTTTAATTACTATGTAAATACTGTGCTTTATTGTATTACGATTGGTTTATCTATGTCTATGTTTATCTTTGTCCTTTGCACTGCACTGTACTGAGCACAATTATCACCAACCCTGTCGTGAGGCAATAAAGAAGATGGATTCATATGTTGATGTGAAAATGGTTTATTGAATTTGTAAATACCATTTTAGGGGCATGTAATAAATGGCCTATATAATGGCTCTGTTCCAAAACCTAGTGAGTTGCCTCGCTACCTGCTGACTATATAGGCAACTACCTTCTGCATCCTAACTGGAATGGACCCTCATATGTGACTACTATCTTCATAGGGAAATTTGTGTGCTCTACTTTTGATTCAAAGTTCTTTGTAAATTAAATTGGAACTAAATTTGGTTGATTATCAGTGTTTCTCCCTTGTCATCCACCACCATTTATTTTTTTCACAGAGGTTGTTGCAATGCATTCTGAAGGATGCATGTAAAGCTAACTTACAATATAGCCAAAAATCTTAGTAATAAGATACCTCTTAGATGGCATCATTTTTCCTCCCACCGTTTGGAACAAGCTTTGTGCCGGGCAGCTTCTATGATGCCATAAAATGAGGAGGAAGATATAGAGATTTTAGAATGGAGTGGGGTGTGTCTTTAGAATGGCAAACCATGCAGATCCCACTGGGCAAATGCCATTTTAACTGCCATGTTTGCAAAGCAGCAAAATCCAGTTGTCTGTCATCATGTTAAGAAAATAGCAGAAAATTGGGATATAGTGTGGTCGGAGAAGGACATTAGAATTAGAGAAGGGAATTAACGGCTACCTGTCCATACATATGTTATTCAGTATACTCCACTGTCTTTTTCAGAACGGCAGCTGTGCAGCTCCATGGCCAACTCCAGCATCCTCCCGTCAGCTGTGACGGGCATCAGTAAGGAACTAGCCGATCTGCAGCACCTCATCCAGTTCCCTGAGGAAATCGCCACCATCCTGACAGAACAGGAGCAGCAGCTGTACCGCCGTGTCTTCCCACTTGACTACCTCAGCTTTCTCACCCGAGACCTGGGAAGCCCAGAGTGCCACAAATGCCACCCGCACCTGAAAGCCTCCCTGTCCGCCCCCATCATGCCCACTCAGAATGACCACCACAACACAGTAGAAGACCTCGTCACAAGATTCAATGAGGTGAGCATTCATTAATGGTGCAGATTCATTCCAAAGGGAACGTATGGGCGATAGAGTGGTTTTGGCTTTGGAAGAAAAATTGAGTTGGACACCGAAGGACATTTGTCATGGTTGGTTTGTTGGTTGCCATCACAAGTGTCTGTTTTACTTGGATCTTTAAAGTACGATTTAATGTTAATAAAATTCACAATTCATTTCAGTTCATATCAAGTGATAGGCCAGGTAAGTGAGATTATATTATCTTGCTGTATGTGTGTTGTTTTCTTTACGTTTTCTGACTAAAAGCAACCAAAAGGCCATTTTAAAGTGGTTAAGCAAATTATAATAATAATAATCGGCAGGGATCCCAGACCAATACAATTAGTGTGCCTCCTCTATTTTAAAACCCACGAGGCGCCACTGGTAAGAGTAGGTATCTAGACAACTTATGATTGGGAGTAACTTGAAAAAAAGATTTGCAGATGCTTACAGCCTTGACAGTCAGTGCTAGTTATGTAAGACTCACAACTCAGGAAGGTGACCTTCACATGGCTTTCATATTGAAATCAATCTTATATCTTGTCAAGTAGCGTAATGCTCTAAGGAGTCATCTTTAATTGTTGAATGCAGTTCCTTGAAAGTTATTGCTTAACTTTCCATTGCATAGTTGTTTAGAAGAAACATTGAAGGTTTCCTGGCCGAAGGGAGTTCAGATCATAGGCCTCGATGCGATGTAATACTGTAAGAGCATAAAGTGAATGGATCACATAACAGGACTGTGCCTCACCCCTCCCACCGTTAATCCTAGTGTCCTTTGCGAACAAGTCATGGATTCCTCCTTTAGTGGATTTGGTTTGCTCTTTTACCCTAATGCTTCCTGTGGACTCATACCTGCTCCAGCAATGTGATGTGTTATTTTGGTTATGCTGTAACCCACATAATACATCCCTGAAGTGTTGCCACTGGGTGTCCATGCACAACCTAGGGTTTGTGGTCTGTTGTCTTTGTTGCGGTCAGTTGTTTGTGGTCTTATTCGGACACTTGACCAGCGGCCGCCTTTGAAGCCCCTTCCAGGGTGCAGTGTCTCTGGCAACTCTTATGTAAGTTTTTAATGCGTCAAATCTGCTGTCTGTTCACTGCTAGCTGGCCGGCCTGTGCAGTAACTCAAGAGCAGCAGTCTGTCCGGTGGAATCCTGGCAAAATGGCATGAGCTCCAGTGTACCGGTCCCCTCGTATTAAACGTCCCTGACCATCCGGGCCCCAGCAGAACTGTTTATGTAACTGACTGACTTTCTGTGAGGTGTTTTTAGCTACAACACGCCATCACATAAATATTTGTGCTCAAACTGATTGCTGTTATAAGCGCTCAGGACTAGAGATGGTCAGATTCTGTGACTTGGTGTTTAAAGAAAATGTGAGTGGTGATTGATCATACAAAGACTCGGCACCACGAGACTGGGGTGTTCTGGGTGGTTGCCAGGGCGTTGCTATGCAGTTTCTACACTGATTAAAAAAAAAAAAAAAAAAGGAAAATGTTCTGGTAATTTTCTGTTAGGATATTATCCATAAATTTCCGTTAACTCTAAAACGCAATGCAATACAGTGCAAAATTCAAAATACATGTAAAACACCTGTAAAAAATCAATACGGAAAATTCCTTTTTACGGAAAAGTAAAAAAATTTTTTTTTTGAGTGTACGGTGTTTTGAGTGGTATGCGGTTTATAGGATGTCCTGGGTGGCTGCCAGTGTGTTGCTATGCATTTACTGTCTTCAGCATGCTGCTATGCAATTGCTAAGGTTTTCCAAAGATCTTTAGAATGCTACTATGCGGTTACTGGGATGTCCTGGGTGGTTGACACTGCATTGCTGTCCAGTTGCTGAGTGGTTTTAGCATGTTGCAATGCAATTGCTAGGATGCAATTGATCAGGATGTTCAAATAGAGCAATGCTTTGATAGCACCACACAGTACATTACACTTTTCAAAGTGAAACAACCCACATACGACTTAATTCCCTGCATATTAAGCTGACATATGAGAATATAACACTGGAGATGGGATTTCTTTCTTAGTTTACTTGTTTTAAAACAAAAGTTCATCATTTACTTGCCCTCATGTTGTTCCAAACCTTTACAAAAGGTTATGCCAAGTTTACACAAAAGTTTAACACAAATTTTGAACCAGGTGTCCTGTCCACTGTGAGTAATGTGTTAAATTTTGAATGTGTCTTACACAAACCCATTGTATGACTTCAAAAAACTTGGAATATACAGTAACCCAGCAGTTATATGGATCACTGTCTTGTTATCTGTGTTAGTGTTATGGGGTCCAGTGAACTCAAATCTACATTTGTGCACTCAAATCTTCATTTTTCTTCGAAATGTAAATAAAATCATGTTTGAACTCCTTAGTTTAAAGCTAGAGATTTATGTTACACAGTCTGCAGTGTTTCTTCCAAATATATGTGAATATACACCAATAAAGTGAGAGAGTGAATAAAGGAGGAAGGTATCGGAGATCAGTATTTTCTCAAGATTTGGCCTCAAACTAAAGTGTGTGTTGTGTATTTAGGTGAGCTCATGGGTGACCTGGCTTATCCTGACTGCTGGGTCCATGGAGGAGAAGAGAGAAGTCTTCTCATACCTTGTCCATGTGGCAAAGTGCTCCTGGAACATGGGCAACTACAATGCGGTCATGGAATTCTTGGCAGGTCTCAGGTATGGCATGATGCCTTGAATTGCTTGGTTAGAAAATAAATAATCATTTGAGAATAAATGGTCCTTTCTGTTTGTATTGTGTTATCCTTAACAAAGTGAGGAACATTCTTGGGTCATTGATTTGTTTTTAACCGCACATTTGCAACATGCAAAAGGATGAGTCTCACTGCTAGTATCACTGCTAATCTGCAACCCAAGTTACTTTCTTATTGGACTAGTTATCTACAATTTTCTATAAAGTTCACTCTCATCCAGCTCTGTGTCTTTTCCCACTTCCAAAGGGATTTTTTGTTTTCTTGCTGAAGATTTTAGTCCTCTATCAAAGGTTTTATGCTTTATACCATGAAGATTAAAATTAATACTAAAGTCCTCCAAGGCCGTTTTCACTACAGTCAGAAAATGTAACAACCTCTTGGAGTTAGCAGTGGAGTCAGTTAGCTTTTTTCCCCACTTGTGTACCAACATGAAAAGCAAAAATACAGTTTACTGGCTATTATACAAAAATATCATATGACTTAAACCAAAATCTAACTCTGGTGACACATAATCATCTATGAGGTCAAAGCATGTACACTATCTACAAGACTGCATCCCTGACTTAACTTTTAAATTACATTTGAAAACTAAAATGTTCAGAACCCTTGAGCAATATACTAACAGGGCGCCCAGAATTACGTCCCTACAGCCTTGCTCACTGCTTACTCTTCCCCAGGTCTCGCAAAGTGCTGAAGATGTGGCAGTTCATGGACCAGGCAGATATTGAGACCATGCGTGGTCTGAAGGACGCCATGGCCCAGCATGAATCATCATCTGAGTACAAGAAAGTGGTCAACCGTGCTCTCAACATCCCAGGATGCAAAGTGGTGCCCTTCTGTGGCGTGTTCCTTAAGGAACTTAGTGAGGCTTTGGATGGTGCGGCCAGCATTATTGGACTCCGTCCATCGTTTGATTCTGAAGAAGATCCTGTTGAGGTGAGGATTAGGTGCTTCCAAAGAGTCATGATGACTAACACAGGAAATTGTATCACCACGGTTGAATTTAATTGCCTTTTACAGTTACAATAATAATCTTGAGACCATTTTGGCTAGCTGGAGCAATTACCTTTTCATCAAACATTTAACATGCCTGCTGAATTGCTTCCTGGCTTTACAAAAAAACACATTAGCGTGATTCAACCAGGAAAAAGACATTTTGTCACTTTGGTTATTTCTTAAATCACCCATGAACGCTTTTAAAGCCCACAAATCTACTCGTATTGTCCATAATTGTGGTTATTTTCTTTTGTGTGGAATCTCTGTGGTGAAGTGCTCTTTACCTTACACAGTTTGTCACTGACTACAATGGCCAGCAGCACTTCCTGCAGAGGGTTGGGAGCGATGGGCTCCACAGCTCAGACAAGGAGGCGACCGTCAGTAATATTCTGCAGACGATTCGCAGCTGCAACCGAAGCCTGGAGGCTGAGGAGCCTGAGGAGAAGGCACAAGAGATCACAGTTTGCCCCAAAAATTCTTTCAAAGACAAGAGCAGAAGCCAGTGAGTTAATTTTGGACCCTGTTTGCAGATATTTGATGTGTTTAGTCTAATCCATATACGCCTGAGGCATTTTCAGTTTGTTTTAATACCATTAATAGTAGGGCTGGGTTTTGACACAAATTTCACGATTCGATTCGATTCTCATTTACAAGCTTTTGATTCGATTACCGATTTGATTCGATTCAATATCGATTATTTTGGATATATATCAGGTATAGTAGGCTACATGCCAAATTTTCTCAAGGAAAAAAAATATCTCGACTAATGCTGTAAAATATACACGAGTTGGTACTAAGTTACACGACTATAATATTGAAGGTTAAAATTGACTGATTTGTTAAAATTACACTTAATGAAGTTTTTAAAATAATAAAGTTACAATTACATAATAATATTTCTACTTCAATTCGTTTTTTTTTTTATATAAACATAATGGATGCTGTCATAAAAACTTGATGGATTTATTCAAACATAAATTAAACATTGAAGAACAGTAAAATTTATAATGAATATGTTATATGGTGCATATATTTAGCAAAATGCCCCTCTCTACAGTTTATTTTTCTATCTGACTAATGAGTTTATGGTCACCGAATATGCTTTCTGAGGTAAATGTGACGTTATGTGACTTTGTTTACAAGCTGTTATATTAACGTCTTTGCGAGGCTGAAACACCATGCTTATTGCGATATATTGGATGGGAAGTGCCCTTTCAACGTTCCGTCCATCAACTGAAAACAGGCTAGGCTAATCGATTCTTGAGATTTAAGAATCGATATCGTTCCGTAAAAATGAGAATAGATTAATATCGAGATATCAATATTTTTTTACCCGGGCCTAATTAATAGGCTCTCTGCATAGAGGTTTGGGTTATTTCTTTGCACTTACCTGTGTTAAGCAAGGAGATCTATAATACCTAGCATTCGCATGAATCTCAATGGGAGTTGCTTGACTGGTGGAGGAACCACTAGATGTGTGTGATTTGATCTGACGTCTGCCATTGTTGAACATGGACATGTTTAAGTTTAAAGTTGTATTTGAGTCAATCACAACTGTAAAATGAAACCTCAGGATACTGACTTCATAGCAACTCTATTTGGTTGTTATTGGGGTCACCACAAGAACACACAAAATCCTAAACCCAAAAGCATCGGAAAGAGAAAAACAACTCATTTTCAAGTTTTTTTTTTAAAACCCCCACTTTAGCTTAAATAAATAATATCTGACAAAAAGTCTCTCCATTACAGTATGTGGTACTCAAATGAGTCTTGATATGTTTTTTATGAAAGTTATGGCTGGGTTGCTGTGAAATTCTATTCGTCATAAACAACTCACTCAGTGTACATGCTTTACTACTATTTTTCCTTTCTTGACAACCTTTAGATCATTTAAAAGAGAATGAAAGAACTACTGTAGCATGTGAGTGCTCAGAGTTTATTTTGAACCTTTAAACATATTATCAATTTATGAAAAGATTTCCAAAGACCTTCCATTTGACTGCAATGTTTCTCAGTGGAACATGTTGTTCTCATGAGTTTGTTTATGCATGCTGACCTATGTACAGAGCAGAAAGCAGTGAGTTTGTAGTTCTGTTTGTCCTCAATGCTGAGGCAGTTTTGTTGTCCGCAGGAAGGTGATCATATCAGTTGTTAATACTGTGTCTCTGGAGAATCTCATTGCCTTTGTTGTAGACTCCATCCCAAGCATTTTCATCTTTCAAGAGACTGAATCTTGAGCAGCTTGGCTTTGATGTACTTCTTTATACTCTCCCAGTACCTCTTCCAGTTGCAGGGCTGACTTTATGCCACAAATGTATCAAAGTTGAGCATGCTGTGTTTGGGTACAGATCCACCCTACTTTCATTTCTCAAAACACTACCTTCTGTCTTTTTCTTCCATTCAAATCAACCCTCCTTCAATTCAACCCTCCCTTACTGTCCACTCTCAAGAAAAGGACCTGGGTCAGAGCGTGTACTGTAAGTTGCCAGATTGTGCTTCAATGGTTGCACTAACTGCATTGGTTTCTAAGTGACATGCAGTGTTTCAGTTGTATGGGTTTGGTGTGTTTTCACTTAGAAATGCATGGATTTCCTTCCTCTGAATCCACAGTGCAGAGTTGAAGTCAAGACCAGATTCTCCAAAGCCCAGACCATTCCCCCAATCCTTTATGAGACCGACCAGTGCCAAACCCCCAATACCAAACCAAGACTAGACCCCTCAATAACCAGCATAAGACCAAGACCAAGAACATAAGACCAAGACCCAAGTGAATACACAAAACCCAGACCAGTACCAGAATTCCGAGGACCAGACCAATACCAATCCCCTATAACCCAGATCAATGCTCTAAGTCCAGGCAAAAACTGCTGGTCCAAGAACCAGACTGTCCATTTTAATTAAATGGAGATAATGCAGAATTTATTCCACCATTCATTTCAGACACTGAGGCTAAGTAGTTGTTAAGAGCCATGGGATCCTCTATAATGGTGCAGATAGAGTGCAAACCTGTGGTTGAGGTTATCACCCACCTCATTACTCTCTGGAAACAGACTGCAGTCTTGTCTGAGACCACAAACTTAGACTCATATCCAGACCAAGACACAGAGTAAATGAAATGCAGACCACAACCACATTTAAGCTCAAGATGCCAACTCTGCCACAGTGCACGATTTAAAGTAATTGAACTCATAGCATTGTATTATGTTCCATAACGGCCCCTACATTTGTGTCTTATAGATAGACAGTGCTCTTCAATAATCTAAGCTTCTGTCAACTCCTTTTGCAAGACTAATATGGCATTACCTCTTCCAAGACAGTGAGAGGTTTCCCAGGCAGAGTTCTGTTTATTCAGTCACTTGATTCTTTATTTCTGCTTCACCTGCTTCATGTAATTTTTGTAGGTTTTTAGTAGGAGACCTCTCAGACTCTGAAGGGGACCCACTTGAGCTGACTAAGGGCATAGACCTCCAGGCCACAGAAGAGGTGCGTGGACTATTTAGCCACGGTACAGAGCTCATCCCCTGGTACGTGCTCTCTCTTCAGCCGGATATCCACCAGTTCCTGCTCCAGGGAGCAACTGTTATCCACTACGACCCCGAGACCCATCTCACCTCCCGCTGCCTCCTCCGTCTACAGCCCGATAACTGCTTCCTTACCTGGTCCAAGTCCCACAGTAGCTGTGGCACAGGTGGAAAAGCCAGAGGCTTCATGGGACATCCACCATCCCCAGACCACTTACCTCTGGGCCAACCTGTGCACTGCGGACTGACCGATGGACTCCTAGACCTTAACGTGGTGAAGGCCGTGTTTATGGGTCACCCTGGAGTGGATGTTAACTATGTGTGCCTGCAGCACAAACTATGTAACATGAACCCTGGTGAAAATGGTGTCACGCTGCTATATGGACTTCACACCACAGACAACAGGCTCCTGCACTTTGTGGCCCCCAAACACACGGCTCAAATGCTGCACGAGGGCCTCCAGGAGCTGCTCAGTGACATCAGGAAGATCAGGAAGTTTCCTGACCAGAGACTGCAATGGCTGCGAAAGCAGTATGTTAGTTTGTACCAGGTACGTTTACATTTATTCAAGTGCATTTATCAAATACAAGTGAGAACACTGTACAAGTAGACCTACAATACCAGATTTTGTTGTATTTGATGTGAGGATTTTACTAATATTTTTTTTAAATGTTTGAATTTTATGTAAAACATTACAGCTAGCAAATTGCTTGTTTTTATGTTAAGCTCATTCATCCCTTAAACATGGTAAAGATTGCAACAATTACAACAACCACCCTTCTATAAAAAGGTCTGCTGGTCTTACAGTAGCTAGCCACCAAGCTGATTTCCATTTGTCATGCTGGTCTGGTTTGATAGTTTTAGAAGGGTTTAGGGCACTTTTTAGCTGGCAGGTCAACTGGCCAGCCAGCTTACCACCAGCTGGCCAGGCTGGTAGACATGGCAAACCAGTTTAGTCTGCATTTAAATAAAGATTTTTGCACACATTTTGTGTTCTCAGTGTTGAATTATAGAAGTTCACATTGGAGGACTTTGGTGGTATTGAAGTTTTCATACCACTAAACACATTCCCGTTTTGACTCTTGTAATGCCCTGCACTGTTTCCCTTTAGCATAACTCTACTAACTTTAGGTCAGCTAAGGCACAGCTTTCTTTTTTTCTAAATTCCATTGATTATTTTCCATTTTTATTATCGGTGGGTTTTATATTGCTGTAAAACTACCTTTTCCAGGAGGACGGTAGATTTGAGGGGCCCACACTGGCCCATGCTATTGAGCTGTTTGGTGGGAGACGCTGGAATATGGGCACTAGTGGCCCTGGATCCACCAGCAAGAGTGCAGAGAAGAACTCAGCCCAGAAAAACAGCCCGCTGGGCATTAACTCCAACGTCAAGAAGAAGAAGAAAGCCTTAGTTAGGGTAAGGAGTGAAAAACCTTGAGCCAACAAAGGCTGTCCTGGCTTAGCTATATGATTTAAATAATGCACTATTCTGTTCTCAGGGAGACAGTGGTGATGGAACAGATGATGAGATGATCTCACGCAAGACCAGGAGCTGTAAAGAGACTTTGGGAAGGAGAGAGTCAGACCCTTTGGAAAGTGTTGAGCAGGAAAACGCTGGTGAGAGTTACTGAGCATTGTGTTGACAGCTACTCTGACTTTGGTTAGACATAATAGTTGAAGAATGTTGAGGATGGTATCCATTTCAGCTGGTTTACCAATACTTTTTTAATTTATACACTGAAGATACTAGTTTTGTGATGCTAAGAGATCAGGGACATTGTGGCATGTTTGAATGTTTCCATAGAGGACTGCAGTACCTTTGGCCACCCTGGACCCCTTTCCTTATCCAACAGCAAAGGCCAGTCTCCTGGATCCTCCTTATCCTCCTCCTCATCTTCCTCTGGCTCCTTTAACACAAACACCTCCACCCCTACACGCCCCCATTCGTCCCCTGTTCTCCCCGGCAACTCCAAAAGTCAGCCAGGGTAAGGCCACTCCCTCTTTAGAAATACAAATCCAGTGCATTCCCAGAGAGCACACAGGCTTCTATTCAATGTGTTTTATGGGTTTAGCATGTTTTTGATCCTGTTCTTTTAAAGATATTTTCAGATGTTTGTATACAAGAAGGATGCAACATGAAATATGCAAATAAAACAACATTAAACCTCGTTCACAATGTAGTTTCCTTCTATAATCTGACACATTTTTAGTAAAATAGGATAACGTGTGAGATTTTTAAGTTTTTTTTTACTTTTTAAATTTTATTCCATGAAAGATGGTTCCAGGTGCTTGAAGGATTTTAAGAGATGTGATTTTTTTTTTTTTTTTTTAACCAGTGTAGATGATAAGAAGTAGGATGGTTTTACAAAGCTGATCTCTCCACAGATCTCCTGACTCGCAACGGCTCTGACCTGGGCCTTTTTATCCGCACACGTCAGCAAATGTCTGATAACCAGAAGCAGATTTCAGACGCCATCGCAGCTGCTAGCATCGTAACCAATGGCACTGGAGTGGAGAATTCATCGCTGGGTGTGCTGGGACTGGCCATCTCTCAACTCAATGACTTCCTGGTCAACTGTCAGGGAGAACATCTGAGTTATGATGAGATCCTCAGCATCATACAGGTGTGTGGAAGAACTCTCTGAAAGCTGATCTCAGCCAGAAAGTTTTATAGACTTTACTGATCACACCTATAAAGGTTACTTTGAATATGACAAAGGTTATTCCTGTTATGAAGCACATTAATATGCTTGTGTTGTAATTTACAGACTCATCTTTGGATAATGACACTGTGCTTCTGTAAAGCTGCTTTACGGTTGAACCTAATTTGTTTCATAAATTAAGAATTTAGCAACATTGACACCGTTATTGAACTGAACTGAATGATCAGAACTGACTTGAGCAGAATAATAATACCACTATTGTCTTTTTAGAGCTGCTTTACAGCAGAAAAGTTTTTTTTTACTTTTTAAATTTTATTCCATGAAAGATGGTTCCAGGTGCTTGAAGGATTTTAAGAGATAGTTCGCTCTAAAATGAAATTTGTCATAATTTATAACTATTGTGTTGTTCCAAACCCATAAAGCTTTTTATTTGTTTTTGTTTTGTTGAAGTTGCCCCTATTATGCATTTTTAAGGTTCCTAATATTGTTTTGGAAATCTTTTACAATAGGTTTACAAGCATGCAAGGTCAAAATATGCATTTAATATCACCTTATTTTCCAAAGATTCTCATTAGTTCAAAGCAGTTCAAAGATTCAGTCGTGAATAGATAAGATCCCTAAAGTTGCAAAGACTAAAATCTCAAACCAAAAGAGATATTCTTAATAAAAGTTAAGACTCATCCACATATCACCTTATTTTCCAAAGATTCTCATTAGTTCAAAGCAGTTCAAAGATTCAGTCTCTCTAAACCCCTCCTTTCCCTGAGCCTACTCTGTTTTGATTGGTCAGATGGCCCAGTCTGTTGTGATTGGTCTACCGCGTACAGCGCGTGTCGTAAAAACGATACGCCCATTGCCATAGTTGCGTATTTTCAACGCTCAATAGAAAATATAAACATTAATTATTAATCTTACTTACAGGTTGTGATTCAGTGGAACCAGCTGATCCAAATAAAGTGGGTACTGAGCCTTCTTTCAAGAGCAAGTGTTTTGTGAATCCCGCCATGAACTCCCTGAGATTAGAGAAGCAGTCGTCAGTAAAATGACGGGAACACAAAAAAGGATTGGGGTTGTACTGATTCTTTGCAGCCTCATCTTTTTTACTTTCACAGTGTCTTCTTAACATGACATTAACCACGTGAATAAGCTACAGTTTTTTCGGGGTGAGTCAAGTTGTTGGTGGCCGGCCAACGTAGAACATAGGCGGGCATTATGCAAATGTGTTACCCTGTTACATGTAGCCGTCACAGAAGTGGGATTTTGAATTACTGACGACTCGTTTAGGCTGTTCAGAGTCGGTTCTTTCTTTTGGGAGATAATAACTTTATTTATCGTGCACCTTCGGCTTTACAACTTTGCAGATTGTTTACATTCACGTACAGCTACATTACACACTGCAAGAAAGGCAATATTCCAAGTAGCATAATAGGGGCACTTTAATATTCTCTCGTCATTTTCCATCCATTGAAACTCTATGCAGTCAACATTTTTATGCTTCAAAAAGTACCTAAAGACATTGTAAAAGTAATACATTTGAATTATGCTGTTTAATTCAATTGCTGTATATGATGAGCAGACTTAGATTCAGGTGTTTATTCAATGCATATCAAACATAGTTAATGGTTAAGCTCAATCATGCTTGTGTGAGGTGCAAAAACAAATCTCGATGGCTTTTTTCATAGTGAAGAATAAATTGTATTACTTGTCTTGAAGCATGTAGTAAAATCAGTTTTGCTTCAGAGCTGACTATGTTTGGTGTTTTTAGGGCCTGGAGCAGTCGGAGCTGGCATGGTCGAGGGAAAGGCTGCTTTAGGGGCTTCCAGGACCTCATGATCTCCGACAGCATCATGAGCTTTGTTGAATTTGTAGAGCTCTTCAAGTCTTTTAGGTAGAACACACCTTTTCCTCCAAAAAAATACTCCGTGTGTGTTTTGAATTTGGTGACTGTTGAAAGTTTCCCATTTGCCTGCTAATGTGTCCAGCATTCGCAGTCGTAAGGATCTGAAGGATCTGTTCGACACCTACGCTGTGTCTTGTAGTCGCTCAGGTCCTGACTCTGTCCCACTCTACACCACACTGAGGATTGATGACAAACTAACAGGACTGCAACCGGATCTTGGTGGGCATGTGTGAATAATAAGAGTGATTTTTTTTTTTTTTTTTTTAAC